TACAAACTAACTAATTTATAATAGTTAAGTAATATAAAAATACATACCATGTGTTTCTTGTGGATAAGAAGCAAAATTTGTCTTTATTTGAACTATCTCTTACTAAAAATTAATATGACTGTAGCTAATTGATTAACTAATGTTAGATGTACAAATAGCTATGAAAACATACCTATAGTAGCTCAATATAAAAATAATTTGCGAAGTTAAAAGAGTTTTTAACATTTAGCTTTGAAAATTCTCATTTTTTTTTATTTTCTTTGTATTTTTTTTTTTTTGTTCATGTTTTATTTTTTCGTTTTTTAGGTGTTAGTTTTTTATTTATTTTTCTTTGCTTTGTTTTTCCTTTGTTTCATTTTCTGTTTATTTTCTTGTTTTCTTTGTTTGATTTTTTGTTTGTTTCATTTTTTGATTATTTTTTGTTTTGTTTCAATTTGTGTTTTTTAGATAATAAATAATAAATTTTAGTCAACATACTTTAAAATATAAATAAACTTTTTTTTAATGTAAAATACAAATTTCCTTTCTACACTTTTTTCTGGATACGTAGAAAAAAAATTATATGCATACATATTGAAAAACAAACACCATCTTAAATATTGTCATGTTAAAAAAATTAACTAAATCACCATTATTCTTAGGCTATCCTAATGGTTGTATGAAGAGTTTAATAGGTAAAAAGGTGGTGATGTGTCATTTAATGGATTAAAAATGAGTTGTAGGTAGAGTGGGATGCATTTCCTTGTTGTTGTTATTATTATTATTATATTATTATTATTATTATTTTCTATTTTTTATTTCTCAATTTAATATAAAGAAAAAAATTTCTTTATCAACTTAATATAACAATTTATATTGAAAATAACATTTAATTTTTTCCCACAAACAACTCAAATAAAACGTTCTCATTATAATATATTCGTAACTTTTAATTTCTAAATTGTAATCTTTGATTAATATTTAGTAATTGTTTCTTTGAATTTCTAATTAACGTAATATTTTTTTATTAATATTATTTAAAAAAAAACTAAAATGGTGATGTGGAACCACATCAACATTCCACTAACTATGTCATTTAAATTATTAAACTTTACGAACTCTTAAAAGTTCAATGCATTGGAAATGTTGTATAAAACTCTCTTATCTAAGGTAGTGTTTGTTTTTTGTCTGCAGATCTGCGAGACGTCTTCTGTCTGCGCCGTGCAGACCACGCGCAGACATTAGTCTTCGCAGACTGTTTGTTTTTTTGAAGACTGCAGACCTAAAAATGTCCGCGCGCCCTCTTCTTGGCGCAGATGTGGACAAGAGTCTTCTAACATCTTCAGACATCTTCTAGCTTAAAAAAACATATATATCTTTATTTTTTTTAAGTTTTTTTTTTTTAATTTATATTTTTTCCAACTTTATTAATGATAAACAATATGAAAAAAAAAATTACAAAACTTAAAAAAAAAACATTTGACGATACAAACATGATATTTTTAACAAATTTATAAATAAAAATTTATTATAATAATAGTCGTTGAAGTTGCCAAAATTTTGTAAAACTTTATTTAATAGAGTATCATCAATTTCTCGAGAAAATATTTATCGTACATTTTTAATAGATTTATTTGAAAAAATCGAAGTTTATTTCCATCTATTTATGTATCAAATTCTTTGATCACTAATTATAATGTTTAGTTATAACTTTGCAATCAAAGTTGTTGGTTTTTATCAAATATGTATATGAATTAATACCATTTTTATTTTTATTTTTTATATAATAATACATAAAAGTTGATCTAGATTCGTTATATATTTATAATAAAGTCGTAAAAATATATAAAAAATTCGCTTTGAAGTTTTAAAAAACCAGTTTATTTAGATTTCAGTTTATTTTAATAGCCCGCAGATGTTAAAAAAACAAACAGTCTTCTTTTTTCAGACTGCAGACGTTTGGTCCACCTCTTCTACTGCAGAGGTCTACAGATGTGGTCCGCAGACTGCAGACATTTTGCCTCAGAAAAAACAAACAGTACCTAAGTTGTTATTTCTTAGCATACATCATATGTTTATTATGAAAAATAATTCTTAAAAAGAACGTTATATAAAATTAATATACTACAAAAAACAAAACTAAAACAAGTAGTACTAAATTTAGTGTCAAACTCTAATGATTAAAGCTTTGAGGGTTCAAAATAATTAAGAGAGTAAATGAAACATTATTGAATGAAGACCAATAATTGTATAAAACACAAAACTAAAAAAAAAAAAAAAAAAAAAAAAAAAAAAAAAAAAAAATCTAACTAAAAACGGTGTGTCTAGCCGCAGTGCAATTGACCACATTTGAGATGATAAATAAAACATAAATGTTTTCACTCAAACTTCACAAAATTCTTTGGAGACAATCTAATTAGGCAATATGTTACACATCCTGATGGATAGAGTATATGCTATATAACATATATTACTTCTATTCTTTTGACTCTTTTCTTTTTAAATTTTATATGCCAATTTGTATTATTTAAAGTGATGCAGATGTCAGCATTGGTTGCTACACAAACTTCATATTGCCCCCTGACTTTGAAAACACTCTTAGATTATTCATCATTCATGACATTAACAACAGATTTTTAGGATATTCCCATCTGCGATACTCATATACATATCAGCACAAATTATAAATTGTAATGCGGTTTGATTTTCCCTCAATAATTGAGAGGCATATCTATGATAAACAATGCTATTCATGCAGGAGTCAATATGAATATTTTGCTCTTAGAATAAGTCAGTAGGAAACGTCCAAACTTTACCTTTTAGACACAAAAATTAGAATAAACAATAGGATGTGACCTCTTCAACTCTTTATGTATCTAACTTCCGGTGTTTTATTGATGCGCCGCACAGCACACGCGCAACACTTGACCTTTCGCAACTGTTTGTTTTTCAAAAGACTTCTGACTTAAAAACTATTGCGCGTGTGCTGTGTGGCGCAACACTAAACCAGTTGCTTCAAACCTCTTCACGTTTTACTTTAACTTACTGCAGCAGTCTGCATACGTTAAAAAACAAACATATTTTTTTTTAAATGTTGCAGTCGTTTGTTCCACATCTTCTGCTACAAAGAGTTACAGAGGTGATCCGCAGACTTCAGACATTTTTGTTTCGAAAAAACAAACAATACCTAAGACACATCTTTAGATATGCATATCACTTATGAGTACATCAACACAACCTTGCACCCCATAAAGCAAAGATCTTTAGTTCCATCAAAAGTACAAATTAATTACACTTCATGGTTAGGAGTAAATAGACATGTCTAGATTATTCTAAGTGTTGGATGAGCGTGGATTTCTTTCTTTTTGGTTGCCATTTCACCATATTATGCTTATACAATACCACTTGGAGGAATAAGAGTGGCCTTTGACTTGTAATTGCCATTTGTTATCATTTAAACATCAAAAACCAAACCCCTTTATAATAATATTATTATCATAAACCCAATTAAATTATGCCATTAAAAATAATAACCCACCCACTTCAATTTTGAATAAGTTCCAACAACATATCTTTGGCCTAGTAGTACGATGAGATGCCAAAGGTTCAAGTCCCGTCTGAATAATTAATTAACAATTAATATATCATACATAATTCAAAACTAGTAGTATTAAAAATGACTCATTTTTTAACTGAACAATTTGGGAGGTCATAGCACTTGAGATCCTTTGGTGTGTGATTTCTAAATCGTTTTACCTAATTACATGTTAGGCTAAATTTTGTGATGTTATGCATTTGATCCATAATTAGCAATAAAATCTAACACAAGTTGACCTATTTTTCCTTGAATAGGTTGAACTTGTATGCTTAGGATAGGAGCACACCATTAAAAAAAGAGTACTATATACGTATGCAAATTGAATATTTTATGTTTAGGGTAGGAAGAAACGTCCAAATGTTAACTTTTAGAAGCAAAAAATTAGAATAAACAATCAGATGTGAGATGTGACCTCTTCAACTCTTACTCTCATTTTGACAAGATCTTCTCCTGTATTTATATATAAACACATCTTCATTTAGAGGATAGATATTATGTTTAGGCCTTTAATTATATAATTTTTTATGTTTAGGAGAGATATTATGTTTAGCCGAAATAGACATTATGTTTAGGTCTTTAATTATATAATTTTTTATACTTTTGGTGATTCTCTAATGTGGGAAACAAACGAAAACAAGACATCCATATTCAATACTTTTTGCTCGTCGTGTTCATCTGTCAAGAAGATTATGAATCTTTTGGTGATCGGAGCATAAAATGAAAATACTATGTTGATGCAGCAGCGTTTAATACAACACTTCTAGAAAGGTGTTCATTCATGATTCAACAAGTATTACCATGCATAATTATAGTTTCGGAGCATCTTCAATTTATTTTATGATTTTGTTTTTAAATAGAAACTTACTCCAAAAGCTATAAGAGTCGTGAAAAATGCTTGCATTATACAATTTTCGTGAATTGAAACGTTATGGTAATAATCTATTTTCTCATTTTCAAGGCAATATGTTACCCATTTGACAATATCCTATAACAATCGTGTCTTTGATTGATGCAACACAGCATGAGTATCAAATGTGGGTGTGATTGATTTTAATTTATTTGTTTATTAATGGATGACTTCAAAGTGTAATTTTAAAATTTATCTATATAACAAATCATACGTATAAACTACTAAATTTAAGCGAAAACCCCAATAAAATCGATAGAAAATTACTCCCTATATTTTAAAAGTATACTTGACAAATCGTTGTTAGTCAAAATAAATAAATAAATAAACTACTAATGACACTATCATTTTTGTTATTATAGGTAACACAAATTATAATTTACAAAAATTTGAAATAAAAAAATAATAATATATTACTATTTATTAGAATTCACCTTGAAATAATCTAATAAATATTTCCCTCCATTCCAATAATGTCAGCTTGTTTTGGAGTCATAAGCAACGAATGTGCACAAAATGAAGCACAATTGTGTGAAAATGTGGGAAGCGAAGAAAATGGAGGGAGAGGGTGTTCTTCTTCCTCCCAATCCCATCGTAATCTTAGGAAAAAAACAGGGGTTTGAAATCGAAAGACTCTCTGAGACACATACACACAATGCTTCTCGGAGATTATCTTTATAAATTCAAAATTTCTGAAACTTGGCATTGGTTTGAGAAACAACGAGAATCAATAGATCGATTTGGTTGTGATTGTTGAACCCGGATCCGACAACAGTCGGACCCACCTTCTGCTTTCCCCCTCCCCTCTCCTCCCATGGTGGCTTCCTTCAATTCGTCAGAGTGATCGAGCGAGAGAGTGAGAGAGAGAAAGAGGAGATTGTAAATTCATTAGCCTCTTGATAGTTTCATTAATTACAGGTCTCTCTCTCTCTCTCTTCTTTCTCTCTCTATACGTATAATTCATTGTTTGTATTGTCAGATGCATTATTTTCCTAATTCTCTCTCTAAGAGTATAATTTATTGTCTGTATTGTTAGATATATCTCATTATGTAATGAAAAGAAGTTTTCAAATCCAAATTATATGCATTATCTTCCCCAATTTTTTGTTTTCATGCTTCTTTTCGATTTGATACATTTAGCCATTTTGTTGTTTTTATTTATTTCTTATTTTTGTTCCCTTTTTGGTGAATCTTGCATGATTCCAAAATTTCGAACTATGTTGTTATCTGTTGCATTGGACATAAATTATTGTACTTTTGGGAATATCTATTTGTATGTCTACACGTATGAGATATCTGTGGCTTGAATTCTATTTTATGTATTTTGGGTTTCATGAGGTTGGCATTTAATTCTTGTGAATTGCAATAATTATTTCTTTCTCATTTTTTTTGAGTCTTGTCATTATATATTATGCCAATAAAAACATGAACAACGATAAAACACAAAAGAACAATGTACTTTATATAAATGAAAGATTAATCATTAGTTAGGGACCATTTGCTTTATTTTACTCATCACGCTTTCATCTTATCATACAATTTAGTTATTTGATTTCCATTGAAGAGGTTCATTTATGTCAAAAAGTTCTTTCAGCATTGGAAATTTGAACTATCTGATTGATGTTTATCGCAGAATTCTTGTGTTAGGAATCCTGATATCGGCTTTGTTGGAATATTTTTGCAGCTTGCTAAGGTAAGGTATGTTTTTTATGTCCAATGGATTTTACTTAAAGTGATACCACTTTTTATAGAAATTATAAATGGAAATTTTTTTTACATAATGTACTAAAAACATTTCCCATGCGGCCCATTTTTTACTCAAGACTCGATAAATTTTGTAGGGGATATTTTCAATGATATGAATGGGGACATTAATGTCTTTTGTACCATATAAGAAATCTTAAGTTAAAATGGTCCCACTATTTTTTGTAGCGAAATAATTGTCATGTTTTGGTACAGCAATCTAGTCTACTCTTAATCACAAGTCCAATACACACCAAAAATAAAATAGTAAAACATAGGAATCTTGTGTCTTGTCTAGTCATATACTATATACTTGGAAGTGGGTCCCACCCGTATATTACTAAAAATATCTTTAAAAAATCTCTTTTTTATTAAAACCCCCCTCCTCGGCACCCATTTATGCCTAAAAAAACCCAAATTTTCATAGTTTTATTAGTTCATATGTTTTTTTGTAATAAAATGGAGACTCCATTTAACTTTCATCCACTGAATCTATGTAACAAGTGGGGCCTACCTCTTACATATGTCAATGTTAATATTCTACCAACTGTCGGCTTTTAACTCGTATCAGTTTGGGGATCAACTTTTGGGGGACCCGGAGACGTTTCTTGATGCTTTTGAGGGATCAAAGGATTTGTAGTTGTTTTATAAATACGTAAAAAAATGGGTAGTTGTGCTTCGAGCCCCGTGAAAACAATCAAACCAAGGAGATCACGGCGTCATCGAAGCAAAAAGACACGTAAGCACGACAAAACAAAGAAGAAGGGAGACGCTGATTCCATTCCCGTTCCTACTGGTGGTGATGGTGATACTGATAATGTTGATAGGATGTCAGTTTCTCAGGACTCAGTGTCTTCCTTTCGTACTTCTATACCTAGTCACACCGAATCACACACCAATGCTAATGGTAAGGGTACAATCTTCTTTTCTTTTTAACTTGTGCAAGAAATAACAATGTATTTTTATTTATTTATGTATTATAACATGAACATCCCACTTAATTTTTTTTTTTTTTAATTAAAGCGTTCTACTTTTAGTTTTTTATTAAGGCGATATACTACGGATTGTACTATTTCGTAATAACAAGTGAAAGTGGGATGTTATAATAAATAGATTAATGAAACTATGTTTTTATTTCTAGTTTTTTTTTATTAAAGCTTCTTTTTACAGTAGACGACCCATTTTTTGATACGATTAGCAGCATTGATGGTGATGGTGATGGTGCAGTATCGGAGGATGATTTTGCTAGCGTGCATGGAGGTAATTACTTCACTTCGTATAAATAATTTATTCAACCATTCTATTTGTTCTTAGAAAAATGGGGAAAAAAATTTTTTGAAGTTCAAATAGGCTGGGTTGATCAGCCAATATTTTATTTGTTAGTGATATATGTAACACAAATTGATCCATTCTCACATAAAGGGATTGAAATAGTCCCCTCGAGTTTGCAAGAATGAGCAATTTTGGACATATCATGAAAATGTAAAGGCAACAAAAAGACCATCGTTCTTTGGCAATATTTGTCTAAAGCCAAAAGATTGTCCTTTTGGCAATAAAAGGCCGAAAACATGGTCTCATTGGCAAAAAGATGATTTTTTGGGCCATAAAATAAGTAAAGATAGTGTTTATGGCAACAAAATGCCAAAAAAGATGGTTCAAAAAGTCAATAATAATTGAGTAAGATTTCACTAATGTCATACTGATTCCCAGTTTGTTTGATTGTTTGAACTAAAGACGATGATGGTGATGATGATGAACCAAACGGGGAAGGGGAAGGGGATGAAGATTATTTCCAAGTAGACGATGAGATTATGACAAAGAAGACATTGAAGCAAGATAAGTGTTCGACAGATTTAGAAGATGCATACTCATCATACTACTCAGTAGGGAATCATGGTGATTCAAGCCCTACAAACAAATTCGGACGTAGTTATAGCAGCTATAATGGTTGTGATAAAGATGATAAAACCCAATCCCATATCTTGATGATGTCTGGTGGTGGACCCCACTTGTTCCCTTCTGCTAGTTTCCACGATCAAATCTCCACCACTCATCATTCCGTCTCACAAAATCATACCACAAAACCCACCGTTATTAAGCTTGCTGTAAAACGAGCCACCGATGGAGACGACCAAACCCACCGTATGTCTCTGTCTACAACACTTTGTACTTTCCTTCATTTATTTTCACATTAACCCCTTCAACTTTATGGGTTGTTTCAATAAAATCCAGGTGCTACAGAGAAGTTCTTTTATCGTCCCCGAGCCGGATTCTTGATTCCGTGTTGTACGGATGAAAAACCACTTGCGGGATGTTGGTCGGCTATCGACCCCTCAAATTTTACTCTCAGAGGCGAAAATTATTTCAAGTATGTAATTTTGCAAACAATTAAATTAATTAATTCTTTATTTTTATCACATTTTACTATTTTAACCTAAATATAATTGGAACGCAGAGATAAATCGAAAAAACCCGCTCCAAGTTATAGCCCTTACATTCCATTTGGTGTCGATCTTTTTATATCCCCTAAAAAAATCAACCACATTGCCAAACACCTCGAGCTTCCTTCCTTACAAGGCGATGGCAATTTGCCCCCCCTTCTAATTGTCAATATTCAGGTTTCCTTTTCTTTTTCTTTTTTTCTTTTCTCTAATATCCGAAATGTACATATTATGTTCATTTGTTGTTATGTATTATATACTATATATACAGTTGCCTAGTTATCCTGCTCAGATGTTCCATAGTGACAGTGATGGTGAGGGGTTGAATCTTGTTTTGTATTTCAAACTTTCTGAAACCTACGAGAAAGATATTCCCCCTCAGCTTCAGGACAACATTAAGGTAATTTAAATGCCTTATTTTATATACATATACATATATATACCATAGCATAATAATACTTGCATACACGTGTACAGAGTTTAGTGGATGATGAAATGGAAAAGATTCGGGGTTTCACAAAAGAAACAACAGTAGCTTTCAGAGATCGGTTGAAGATCATGGTGGGTGTGGTGAACCCGGATGACCTTGTCTCAAGTAGCACAGAGAGGAAACTTTTGCATTCTTACAATGAAAAACCCGTTCTCTCACGCCCTCAACACAACTTCTTTAAGGGATCAAATTACTTTGAAATTGACCTTGATATTCATCGCTTTAGTTACATAGCAAGAAAAGGATTAGATGCATTTCGTGAACGCCTAAAACACGGGATTATGAATCTCGGCTTAACAATTCAGGTAATCTAATCATCAATTCTTGATTTATTATTACAACTTTTTCCCTCCCTGATATTCTTCTTGTTAAAAAAAAAAAAAAAAACAAACATACAGGCTCAAAAACCAGAAGAATTACCCGAGAAAATCCTTTGCTGTTTGAGATTAAACAAGATTGACTTTGTCAATCATGGTCAAATACCCACATTAGTCGCAGATGATCACAATTCCTCTTGAAATCATTCTTCCTTCTTTTCTTTGTAAAATGTTCCTCCTGCCCACTGTAAGTACAGCTGCAATCCCAGTATAAAAAAAACGGTGAAATTTTTGCTTAAACAGAGTAAGAAAAGTTTAAAAAAAGGTAAAAAAAAGTAAAAACTTTTCTTTGTTTCTTCATGTCAATTTTGAGTGGTTAACGATACACGGGTCATTGTTATGTAAGATGTTGTACATATTGATGTATTCGTTTTGTAAATACAGGATCATTTTCATTTTATAAACTATTGCTTTAGTTTCATTTCAAACTGTTTTTATTTTTGTATTATTGTATTTACCTCCATCAAAACAGGATATATAAGTTTCTTGAACGTGGTCAATCGTTATCAGAGTCGTTCGTGGGAACTGGAACCTGTAATGAAATATGGATTATATTATAAATCATTATTAATTATTAAATCATAAAACTTAAAAACACAACTATATATTTTACTTACATTTGGTAAACTGTGAGATATATCAAAAGAACCACTGCAGACCCTTCGGTTTCTAAAACCCCTGCTGCTCCTACATTCTCCATCGGCTGAAGAAGAATATATCACACACACCGCCATTGCGCCTCCACGTTGGGTGCTGCCGCCAGTCGCCGGATGTTTCTGTTTCTGTTTCTGTTTCTGCTTCTGCCGCCGTGCTGCCCACACAAAACCACCATTTGAAGGTGTGGGTTGTGTCGGAATGATGTCAGATTCACCGGACCTTTCTGTATTTTGTGAATACTCCGACACCGTGTCACGGAATCCACCAGTGATGCCATTGTTTCTGTCTGGATTCACCTTTGTAGGACCCACTTTACGGAAGCTAGTTTGTTCTTGGCTACTTGTTCGCACCATTCTTGGATTTCTCGCACCTCCAGATGCCCTAAGCATGCCACCTGGCTTCTTTCTGAGACTTTTCAATTCATCAACGTTATTTTACCAAATTGCCACCGAAAACAACTGAAAAGCGAAACCTACTAACCTACATGCTTCCTTACGGACTTTTGCATCGATTTCTTTATTCGGGGGATACTTCGGCAAGCTAGTGAGATCACACGCAAAGGGTTTCGTTTTGAAATACTGTTTTAATTTAAGATCAAAAAAACGAGAAACTTCTTCAAGTCTTGATTTTGGTCGATGAATTGATTTCGTAAGCTGCGAAAGTGAAACATACCTCGGATTCTAGGGCAGATTTAGCTGTCCCCCGTTTGTGAGGCTCTACGGAAAGTAAAGTCTCGATAAGGTCAATCGCAGCTTTCGGGACTTCTTTACATCTTTCCCGAAGGGTACTTTCGTAATTACGATGAGGTTTAAACATTGTTGCGAATGGAAGCTTCGACTTGTTCCAATACCCATCAGGAGGAGTCCCACACAGCTTGAATATTTTGTGCAATTGTTCCACCTTAAAAAAACATCGTGTAACAATAGCAATCAATCCCCAACATTAAAAGGAAAGAAATAAAAAAGTATATATAAAAAAATGGAAAGCTCTTCCCTATTTTTTTTTAAAATGCAAATACTAATTTGACAAAAGCTGCCATTTTTTTTTGTGTCGGTATAAATTATAGCTTCTGTACTTACTTCGGTTATATTAATACATACAGAAAAAAAAATGAATGTCAAAATTGAAAAAATTAAAACTTATATCAAAAAAAAAAAAAAAACTAGTGTTTTTGTAAACTTTATTTTTCAATTTTGATACGTCGCAGACCATGTCACTCATGTAACGTTAGCATACAACCGGTTTGAGCAGTAAAGAGGTCAGAATTATAACAAATGAAAAATACAGTTTCAAATTAGAGACTAAAAAATTACGGTATCAAATATCAAATTAGAAACAGATGTTAATAGGACAAAAACTCAGACAGCTATAGTTTATGTATTCAACCTCAGTTCGTGCCTTGAGGATCGGTTTGCGAAGAAAAAGTTCAGCAAAAACACACCCGATGCTCCAAAGATCAACACATGTCCCGTATTTTGTACACCCTAAAAGAAGTTCGGGAGGCCGATACCACAAAGTCACAACATGACTAGTCATCGATTGAGTATTCCTTTGACAATAAAAATTCGCAAGACCAAAATCCGCAATCTTCAAAATCCCTTCATTATTCACTAAAATATTCGCGGTTTTTATATCTCGATGTAGTACTCCACGTGAGTGGCAATGCTCGATTCCGTTCAATAGTTGCCTCATATAGCATTTAATCTGCGCACCAAAAATAACATCATATGGTTTGTGGATCGGAATCGAAATGTATCAATGGAATTGGAATTGGAATGGAATTACGTGTTACAAAACCTGGGAATCACTGAACTTGATGTCGGGGCATGATAGAAGGCCGGAAAGATCGTGTTCCATGTATTCAAAGACGAAGTATATGTTGCGTGATAAGCGGGAAGTGATTATTCCTTGGAGTTTTATGATGTTAGGGTGGTCGAGCTTACGGAGGATTGTGATCTCTCGAGCCATGAACTTGATACTCTCTGGAAGTAAAATGTCAAAACGCACCTTCTTCAATGCAACCATTTTGCCACTCTCGATGTGACGTGCTCTGTAGACACAGCTATATGTACCTTGTCCAATCTGAATATGAATGGATACAAATTTGGTTTACATAAGCATATTTGAAGAAGAAGATACAAGGATTTAAGTAGTGTAATGAAGTCATGGTTTGATTTCAAGAGAATCTTTATACCTCTGTAACATAGAACATAGTAATGGAAGAAATATTGGGATTATGAAGACTGAATTGTAGTATCGTGTACCTTTTCGAATCTTTGGAAGCTATCGGATTTTAAAGGGAGCCAACCGTGAATGGCTTCACCGGCGACGGCACTAAGCCAAGAGGGCCATCCAGCGGCGCCGGCGATGTGTTCTGCTTCAGTTAACCTTCCAAAATTGAAATTAATCGAATCGGAATTTGAAGTTTCGGATAATGGATCATTAATAACAACGTGATTGTCCTTGTTCTTACTGATCCTATCATCGTATCGTCTACGTGCTCCCTTGTTGATCTTCGTCGATGGCTCAATTGGATGATCGCGATTATTATCATGATCGTAATTCTTCGAAGACGAAGAACCCAAAAAATGTGTGGAAGAATGTGAATCGTGTAAGGGAGAACTGAAAGACCTAACCACATGTTTGGAACCGATGCAACCCATTGCAATTCACACGAAATCCATCAAAGGAATTGATACATTTAGGGGAAATAGGGGGGAGAAATTGGGGAAGAATTGAGAGAGAAACCCTAAAAAACAAAAAACAAAACCCTGATTATTGACACTGTCATCCAATTCCTGAAACAGTGATTTTAGCATCTGGCGAGATATGCGGAGAGAATATGAATTTAAATTGGGAGAGGGGGAAGAAGAAGAAAAGGAAAGTAAAAGAGAGCGACATTTGTGGGTCCATGTTGATTGATTACTTCATTTTGGTGTGCTCTGCAACAGAAGAGTTTTAGAAGAGAGAGGGAGACCGAAAAGGTGGTTGAACAGTGAGAATCGACCAACCGCTAATTTCAACAAACAACTTTACTTGAAAATGTAGCACGCCCTTCTGGGTCTGGTCACGGATCCTTCTTTTTTATTTTTTAAATGTCTATTAAAAAATAATAATAATAATAATAATAATAATAATAATAAATAAATAAATAAATAAAAAAACTGGTAATGCAGCAAACTATAGCTTTTATACTATGACTATTAAAGTTTATTTTATTTTATTACAAATATATATAATTAATGTTATCGACATTATTTGCTCACCTCGCCTTTAGAACATTCAGGAGTTCGATGTGAGAGTTGAATGTGATATGTGAGAGTTGAATGTGATAATATGTCTATGTGTCATTCAATGAATAAAACTCCAATATTATGAGATGACGTCTTGGCATTCAATGAATTTGAAATGCAATGATCATTGAACTCTTCAATAAAAAAAATTAATTCTTAAATATTTATTATAAATTACATTAGGTTACAACTCGTGGGAACCACAGACAAAAAATTTATAATACATTTATATTATTAATAAGAGTTAAGTTTGTTTAAAACTTTTTGTATTGATTATTTAAAATTAATATTAATATATATTTATAAAACATAATATAAATTTAAGTATATTGTAAATGATTTATAAAACATAATATAAATTTGAATAGAGCTTAAAGCGAAACACAATGAATAATATAATGACATTGATATATAAAAAATAAAATATAAAAGAAATGTAATAAAAATAAATTTAAAAAAAAAAACACAATTGTTTGAATTAAAAAACTACGAAACATTTATAAATTTCTAAAAATTTCCTTATACACAACATTGGAAGTTTTGTTTGTAAGTCTAACATGCTTATCTAGAATTAACAATTTCAATCATTCTCTACTTTGAACTCTAGATAAGGCAACATACAACTATCCATGTGAAAAAACAGGATCTTTGAGATACAGACCAACATTCGATAACGACTGGCCCTGACTTTTATTAATTGTCATTGCAAAGCATACGGCCAATGGAAATTGTTTTCTTTGAAATTTGAAGGGAATTTTTTCAAAAGGACTTAAAGACATTCTTGAAATAAAAGTGTGGTTTCCAATATTACTTCCAGATATGATAATTGCCTTAATAACACGTTTGCCCAAAGATTTTACTTGTAGCCGAGTGTTGTTACATAAGCCATTTTTCTTATCAATATTTCTCAGTAACATAACTGGAACACCGACCTTTAAAATTAACTTGTGATTTGGCAACCTGATACTTTAAGACCATTTAAAACATCTGGAGAGTATAAATTGACATCAAACTCATCATGAACAAACTCAGATTGGCAAAGACTATCTGAACTTAAATATTTTACTTCGTATCTGGGAAACAATGATAACAAACGATCATTTATTTGTTGGGCAACTTCATTTTTTGGAGCAAGTATTGCTCTTTCTTGAAAATAACCTGTAACGTTGAAGTTTTCCAAAATTGAAGAATATACAAACTCAATTAATGAACATATAGGATCATGTGGATCATTAATAAGAATATCATCCGGAACATCAATAATCGTTTCACCATCGTTCGAACCACCAACTTTTCCTTCTCCTATGTCCAAAATCCAGTTTGCAAAATCCTTTATCTCTTGAATATTAGATGGATCCCTTCCAATGGTGAGCCTCATGTTTATTGTTAATCTATAGATTTGCATTGTTGCCATATATGTGAAGAACTTAAAGAAACATTAACAATGTTTTATCTACCACCTCCTTGAACAACATGTAGAATTTGTTTAAAGAATCCTCCAAAAACAA